GAGAAAATTGCATAGGACCTTTCTTGTAGAAGACGACGAGATCTACAATTCCTGTATAAAAGTTTGTCGCTAGCATTAATAGTTTACGAGTTATTAACGAAAAACGAAAAAACAGTTTTTTGCAAATTACTCGTTAACTATCGACGCTAGCAAGAAATTTTTACATGGAAATTGTAGATCTCGTCGTCCTCTAAAAAATGGTCCTATAAATGTTCCCGTAAGTCCATCCGTTTGGAAGTTATGGGCAAGAAACGAAAATTTGGAAGAAATTGAAGGGGTACCCCTTGGAAAAATCTCGGAAAAATCGAAAATTTTTTTTTGTTGTTTATTATTAGCAATGTTCTTCCGACGTCTGATTTCTTTTTAAAAAATGCGTTTCTAAAGTGCATAAACCTTTGAGATTGACTGTATAGCCAATACATCCTTAAGATTCGTATCTCGCGTGTACAGATATTGTACAAAGACCCTTATCAATATTCAAAGACATTTTAAAAAGAAATAACTTCTTTAACATTCGACCGGACTTGACAATTTTTCAATGTGTTTGAAAATAATATCTATAGAAAATAATAAAAATCGTTAGAATAATATTAAAAATCTATAAAAAATAATAAAACGTGTTTTCATTTTCAATCATTTGTAGCTCGTAGCAACATGAATTATTGATACCTTCTGGCTTCTGGAGATATGACATCTCCACAGAATAATCCCAGCATTGGAGACAGTTGTTCTGTGTCTGCGGGTCCCAGGCTACGTTCACCGTCGCACCGTTCATTTCGAATTCGTATCTTTTTTATGACTGTTCACTATATTAATCTACTCGCGACTAAGGATTTGAATCAACTATCTCTAACCCGAGAACTGATTCCAAAGAAGACGCCTGATCTTCTGTAGGACTAAGACTAAGGACACGACGGTAAGAGACTGCCGGAGCGAGCTACGAATGCCGCTGACACAAACCCGGCGAACAGCCTCTCCCTCCTTTGCCATCTCCTCCTTTTCTGCCTTTCCTCGTGCCTTCTCTCTTTCTCTCCGTTCTCTCTTTCTCGCTTTTAAACAATTCTCCTTGGGGGATGACACTCGGACGAAGAGGAGGTGGCATCTTTAGGGTAATAAATGCTCCTTCCAGTACTCTCACTACCAATACCTCTTCTTTTTCCTTTCTCCTCTCTTGCTAGTCCATACCTGGTCTCTTCGCACATGTACAATATCTTCCTACATCTGCATTACATATCACATCCAACTCGTATAATTCTACGTTTTCTCATGCGCAAATCGACCTACTTGTTTACATATGCCAATATTATGAAAATTATTGTGTTGACACTCGCCGATGGTCAATCAGTTCTACTTTCTCCTTATTCAGATGCATAAGCTGATATGCTTTAATCAGAATCGCGTGAACTGAGAATTTCTGTCTATACGTTAATATAACTTAAAACCGCAGGTAGACGTTTGTAAAAATTAAACTTAAAACCGAAAAGATAGGTAGACAAAACTTTGTTTCCCTCGCAACTAATGTCAGTACATAGGTACTCGAAGAATTACGATTGTGGATTGAAAGTTTCTTCGAAAATGGTTTTATTGAGGTACGCCCGGTAAATCCCGAACCCTAACTGTTCATCTAATCCCTGACAGTAACAGAGGGTATAAAAATGTGTAAGCTTCGCCAGATCTGTCTGTGTTGTGTTTGAAAATTTCAAGGTCCGTTAGGTGGTTGCTCGTGTCGAGTTTTGAAATAATAGATATTCCGGTAAGACCTGGACCTCACCTTGAGCCCGTCTCTTACGAAAACGATTTTACGACATGTACATCTTCTCGATTGTCACGCGGAACGTGCTAATCCTGCGTTCCGAGATAAAATTCGATCGCCGAGGCGTTAAGACTCGGGGCGAGGGGAGAGATTATGTGTCCAATAACGGTAGTCAGAGAATGCATTACGTACATACTATTCGCGATAACGGAGCATGCAGTTTCGCTTCATAGATGCCTATCTACCTATGTAGCTAGAGATAGAGATAGAGTTGGAAGTAACAGACTTTCTGACCTGGAACGGAACGTCCCGTATGCACCATGTACTTAGGTATACATACGTATTACATACGTACACATATGTACGCTATTCAAAGTTGCACTTGTTTCTATGCAGAAACTGGAGCTTGTACTGCATGCGTAGATAATACAAGTATAACAAGAGCCTCTGTAACACAACTCGCGCGGAAAATGCTTCTCATCCCCTTCTGGCTCTATTCTACTTAATAACAAGTACAACGATAAAAACTTGGACTGCTGCACGTAGCGAGGAAACTTGATATTGCAAGTAAGGGCAGAGAGTAACGTTTTATAAAAATAATCTATGTAAAAAAGATCGTAATCTATTGTTGTTAGAAAGTTTTGTTTATTTTATAACATCAGATTTTTAAAATAGCTTTAATGCAAGACTTAATGCGAGACGTTTTATCCAATTACGAAGTAGACGCAATCTGAACGAGTTGAAATTTTCTAAGAATTTTAATTAAAGTGAAACAGCCAGTTTTGTATAAATATGTTATTTCTGTCGCATGTGGTTTTGTAACAATCCAACGTAACGATGTGTTGTACACATGGGCGACGCTTTGTAGCAGATATACATCATAAATGACTAACTAAGCCACTTCCTTTCGCGCCACGTGACACTATTAAATAGGTATGCCAGGTATCTTAAAAGGAAAGAGCGAAATGCGACCGGTAATGGCACGAATCGTTTGCATAAATCACGTACTGCTACACCCTGCTTTTTCCTTTTATTGTACACGCACCAAGCCTTGTTCCCACTTCAGATTTAACAAACTGAATTTCATGAATACTCGGTCTTTACACTGAATTATTCTTACATAAATTTAGTCTCGCTTTGCATTTGATTAATTTTTTAATGATTTTAATTGTGAGATGGTACAAAAAAATCTGTAAATGGAGTCATCTCAGTTATCCAACACGAAGTAAAGTTGTTTTGTGTCAGACACAATATGGTTATTATTATCCACAAACGAGCATATCGCGCAAGTCCGGATTGATCAAAGATTGGAGAATTAATAGCAACCCGAGATAATTCGTTTATCGAGCAGAAATCCTGCCTCGAAGGAATGCGTGTATTAGCTCTACTTTAAAAATATTCAAACGTATAATAAATTATGGTGCTTATAAATCGTCGAGGATTTTCTCAACCGACTTGATTGCACAAATCTCGAACTGACGATTGCTGTTCTATTATTGAAAAGCTGTTTTTTATAAGGACATTTTTACCTTGAAGCATGTTGCGATCTGTCTCCTCGTCCGTCAGGCAGCGGATGGAGGTAGAAGGAGAAGACGACAGCAGACTCATATTTCCCTTCCTCATTTCCGAGACGTTGCTCTCGGTAAAGTATCGCGAGACCATTCACTTTAGGCTTTGGCAAATCCTCGATGGTCGACTAGGCAAATTGACTCGAACAAGTGGCTCGAGGCTCAAATCAAGCAGACGGAAGAGAGTCGTTCAAAAAACATTTTCTTTACTGAATCATTACGTTGATTTATTATGTAGAAACATTACATAAGATCATTATACTGAATTGTTAAATTGCAACTTAATGTATCATCGTTATTGAGCAATACTGCATAGGAACGTCAATTG